GCCAAGAGATATCGGAGTCTAATCTCAGGACGGCCCAGTCAGCTTTGGGCGGTTTGGTGGTGTTTAAGATGTGTGACTTCTGTCCTCTGCCTCCACCCCTTTTCTTCTTTTCCCCATGTCTCCCCGCCCCCTCCCCAAGCCACAGTGCACTTAACCTTCAGTGTGATTTGTAGAAAGAGACTCAGCTCCATCTACAGTGAGCAAAAAAGACAGAATGCTCAGTGTGACATTGCTTCCAGGACGGTCTACAGTAGGGTAAATATCACTTTGTTTTAGGAAATAGGATTACTACCAATAATCCATTAGAATGGAGTTTCAGAATCTTTCATTTTTTTAAATTGACATAAAATTCATGTTTTAAACTACTTTAAAGTATGCAGTTCAGCCAGTCTGGGTAGCAGAGATCCTTTCTCAAATAAACAAGCAAACAAAAAGGCTGGGAATGTAGCTCAGTGCAAAGGTCCTGGGTTCAATCTCAGGAGACAATAGCGCACAATTCATTAGTTTCCAGCACGCCATCACTCATTCCAGAACATCTCTGCCCACTCAAAATGAAATCCACTACTCGTTGGCAGCCAGTCAGTCCCAATTCTCAGGCCTCTTTCCACTCACATGGCCCAGCAGCCAAGAATTTTACTGAGTCTTTTTCCTATAGTTGGATCATGACGATAACAGGGTGGGCTTTTCTGTCATTTTCCCAGTGCAAAATTACAGGTCAGGGTTAAATGCTTAACTGTTAAGAGTCTCCCCGATTCTGATGACCAGCCGATGGCAGCCCCCTTCACCCTGGCTGAATACTGCTTTATCAGCTGGTACTGTGACAAGCGCACGTTTTGTTTTGATGGCTTTTATATGGTCTCTTCATTCTTCCACAAGCCTTTATTTCCCCAACTATCTCAATGCAGAGTTACTGAGTGATTTTTGCTATCTTACATGAAATCCTTAGTATTATATTGCAAAGGAGGTAGATTTTCCTAAAGGAGAAAGTAGTTTTTCCATCCTAATATTTACATTTCGAACTGGGACACAGCTTTTCTCATGTATCATTTTCCATCCTCTTTCTACCTCTGAGAAAAAGTACCACAGTTGGATATAGTGTCACATGCCTGTAATCCTAGCACAGGAGGCTGAGGTAGGAGGATCACAAGTTTGAGGCCAGCCAGAGAGAGAGACCCTGTCTCCAAAAAAACAAAAACAAACAAAAAACAAAAAGAAAAGAGTGTCATAGATCACCCAGTGTCAGGAGGTTGATGCTTAACTTTACTCTGTGACATAAACATGACTGCTAATTTTTATGAACTTTTACTGTGTCTCAAAGTTCCAGGCGCAGGCTATAAGCACCTGAATCTGCAAATGTGTAGACCTGTGTGTAAATGGAACTGTGGACTGGAGCCATTCCAGGCAGGAATTTGAAGATGTGTCTTTGATGCACTTCAACATAAACTTTAAGTTATGAAGAGAAAGCTGGATTAGCTTGTAGTAATAAATCCCGAAAAACACTACTGGCTCATAATATACCTTTATTAATGAATCAGTAAATTCATAATCAGGGCTCTGTCTAGAAAGAAAGATGGTGAATGCCAACAGCAAATTTCATTTCTAAAGGAGAAATAATAAAGTAGTGAGGATTCTCTATCGGTGAGGACGTGCAGTTGCAAATGAGAGAACCCCGACAGCCTGGAATCAGAAGGAAAAATGAGTTAGGGAAATGCCCTGCTGGGTACCTGAAGACGTTAAGTGTAGCCTGAGGCACACAGGGAGCCACGGCCAGGAGTCCGAGCTGTTCCTGCTTAGTCCTGGTCCCTGTGCATTCTTCTGGTGCCTTCTGGCTTCCAGTGGCCTCCTAGCCACACCAGGTATTCAGGACAAGGTCCTTTTCCAGTGTTTCCAATTAAAGACCTGGACTTGAGTTTGCTGGCCTGTCCTGGGTCACTTTTCATTCCCAAACCAAACCCTGAAGCCAGTGGGATAGGACAGTTTGGGTGTGTTCAAGTGTGGTGGCGCGTGCCAGTGATCCCGGCACTTTGGGAGGCTGACGCAGGAGTATCACAACTTCCAGGAAGACTTGGCCATTTAGCAAGAGTTTTGTCTCTGAATAAAACACAAAAAGGATGGGGATGGGGGCAGTTCAATGTGAATGGCTTGGTTTCAATCCTGTTTCAAAAAAAAAAGAGTGGGTCCAGCCAAACCCATGATCCACATGAGCTGAAAGTCAGGAAGGATGGTCCCCAAGAGAAGTGAGGGCTCTGTGAGCAGAAGAGAGGAGAAGTGTACAGAAGTCCAGACTGTGCTTTCCAGGAAATGGGTCACCCCTTAGACACCCCAGTCAGCTCATGACCCAGAACTGCCAGCTACACAGCTCAGGGAGACTCTCACACCCTATTCTATGTGAAGGAGCCACAGCGGCCCCTGCAGAGCCCCTTCCTCTGTTCCAAAGCATTTGCCATAAAAGCTCTCCCAGCACGTATGCATTTCTGTGGCCCCACTGTGTCCTTAAGTCTTCGGGTATACAGACAGTGGCTTCCTGGAGCACAGCTGACTGATGTGGCCAGATGACCGCACCCCTGGGCCTGAGACTGTACCTCATGTGCCGGACGCTTGGCACCAGTGTCCATGCAAGCTAGCTTTGAAGAGAAGCAGGAGCTCTGTGCACACGGGAGCATCACGCAGAGCAGGGATGAAGGCCTGGGGGACGTGGCAAGCTCGTCGCACAAGTGACACAAACCGTGAAATAAGCACCAGTCCTCCTGGAAACACAGTACGCTATCATGGCAATTAGTGTACTTTCCCCTCCTGTAAAAATTGCTCAATGAACCTTTCTTAAGTTTCCTATTTATCAACATGCCTTAGTGTTATTCCTTGCAAGGCTTTTACATTCTGAAAATTCAGAATTTGCAATCAGGGGTGCCATTGTTTCTCCTCAGTCATCATCGCACTTGCGGCAAAATTCTTAACCTGATAAATACCGTCTGACTCCACTACGTGTGCAGGTGTATTGTTTTCACAGGGGAACTGAAGGGCACTCAGTAAATGCTGAATACGCAGACTATTTATTGGAATAATTTCATTCCTATCTTTCCTCAAAAAGGAACAGTACTACTAAGAGGAAAATAAAAACAATGAAGTTTATATAAAGTCAAAAAAGAAGCTGCTGAGAAAGCTACTTTAAATTATGTGGACACAGGGCTGGCGACTTAGCTCAATGGTTCCACCACCTGTCTCCCAAGCACAGGGTCCCGAGTTCAATCCTTGGTACCAAAAAAATAACAATAAAAAAGTTATGTGGGCACAGAATGTCCTCCTGAGGTGGAATCTGTGAAGAGGGACATCAACAATGCAAAAGCAGCGATGAAGCAAGGATGTCACTACCCAGGCAGGAGGGACAGCAAGGCCAAATGGCCCAACACAAGAATAAACCTGGTGTGGGAGCGACGGTGCATGCCCGTGATTCCAACCGAGGCAGGGATCGCTGTGAACTCGAGTCCAGCCTGGGCCACAAAGCAAGATCCTGTCCCAAAGCAACAACATGCAAACCAGTAAATAAATCTCACCCTTGGAAGGACAGGAAAAGGCTAGCATGACCAACACACTGTGGGAAATAGAGGCAGAAATGAGGACATCTGAGTTCAACAAGAGCACATCACGAGCCCAAGAGGAGGTGCCATCAGGCACAAGGCCATTGCTTCTTTTCTGACAACACAGAAGGCTTCTGAGCCTACAAGCAAGGTGCTGGCTGAGGACAGCAGGTCTGAGCGGGGACTATGTGCGTGTTCCCATGCAAACAGATCACCCTGCCTTCAATTGGAAGAGAACTAGTGAATTGAGCCTGCTGCCCTGCTCCACCGGGCTTAGCGGTGTCCTCTGTTGGGCTCCCAGGATCAGGCACAGAAAGGAGATTTGTTCTCAGAAAGTGATCTCAGTACGCACCTGGCTGCTTTGCTGGATTACAGGTCTACTCCTCGGGGTTCATTTCAAAGCCCTTCCCCAGACTTTAACACCAGTCTCCAACGTTGCTTCGTCTCAAGTCTCTGGCTTGGTAGTCAGCGACTGGTTATAGATCATTTCCTTGATGTCAAAGCACCCGATCAAAGGCACTGCTTAAAACCCTGCTATCAGCCTCACCACCCACCCCCGTCCCTAGGGATGGCACAGATGGGCACTCTGAGCTGGCACACACACGGCCTACCCTGTTCAAGCCGGGCTTGCTCTTTCATCCTCAGCACGTTGGACGGCCACACTCCACAGGGCAAAGGACGGACTGGTAGGAGCACAGCGTAGGAGGAGGGCAGTCAAGGGCACAGGGTGGGCCAGCCTGCTCCTGTGTGTGCCGGCCCCGCACTAGGTGACAGAGAGCTTCCGGAAATGGCCACCTTTCTGAGCAGGTGGATCAGAGAGCGCCTGGTGTCCCGCAGTCTCCCCCACACCCAGTAGCCGGCCGGAACGGACTCTCCCAGGGAGAAAGGGAATCTCCCCGAGAACAGGTTCCTGGCGCTGCCTTTCATTCTACACAACGACCGACTCGACTTCCTACACTTCCTGGAGGTCTTCTGCCCTCAACCCACATCGCTACCCATCTCCGTATTAGTTGTTTTGTTTGCAAGCAACGACAAAAACCCCAAGCCCCCATCCCCAGTAACCCTAGTGACCTTCAAGAAACACGAATACACTGGGAAGATGCCTGGGAGGGCCCACAGCGTATGAAGTGTTAACCGCAGCCCAGGAAACAGACGTCTCTGTCAGCCTCCGCCTTACAGAGCTGCACAAAAGCGTCCAGTTCTGACGCCTCTTGGCCTTTGCCCCTCCCCTCCCCTCCCAAATGCCCGTGGGAAAACCTGTGTGGCCAGCAGGAGCTGGGCCTTCCCATAAAAGCCAGCCGCGGGGGTGGGGGCGGACACGGAGCACAAGCCTGACCTCGGGGCTGACCCAACACCTTCACTGATGTCTACTGCAGCGGCCCTTAGTGAGCGTCTACTGTGCACGTGGACAAATGGCAATTGAAGGCAACTGAAGGCAGAGTGGCACAAAGACAGCCTGGTCAAATAATTTTAATCGTGTCAGCAGTAGACAGTAAAAGTGCAATCCCAGGAAAAGCCCGCATTTCACAAGTGGCAGCTGGTTCTCATCGTCTTTATTTGTATGGAGTGGAAGGTGGGGCCCATTCCTGAACCTTCTTCCTCGTGGTGGAGTAAGGCACGTACTGCTCTGGAGTGCCAGTCACATTGAACTTATGGTTTCTCCAGATGAATTTACGGTCCGTCGGAGGGTGAGTTGTGGGAGGGTCATCAGTCATACTGTGCAGCCAGCGATGCCTTGAGGAGAGGAGAGAAAACAAGCGGTTACGAAGAGGTTACGAAGAAGGGGCAGCGCAGCACAGGGGCAGGAGGGCTAGCAGGGAGCTCAGGACGACTCTGTTGCTTGGGTCAAACTTCAATTCCATCACTTGCTGAACCTTTCTGTGCCTCAGCTTTTTCACAAACCGCTCTGCTTCCTACCGATGGTGTAAGGATCAAGTGTGATAATACACTCTGAGCACCTAGGAAATCAACGATGCCACTCTGAGCTGGCTGCAGGGACGGGTGTACCTGTCGCCCCCGCCAGCTGGGAGCTGAGGCAGGTACTACAGTTCATCAATTCTACAGCACCACTCGCTTTCAGATAATTAGTATTTTATGAACCTCCAAGAAAGAAAATAGATGGCCAATTAAATGCGGACGCACCACTGACTAGTATGGGACATAAAATGTGTGTCAGAGTAGACTGAGTGGGGTTAGCACGGGCGCTGGGGCGGTAATGGATGGTTCTGTGCTCAGGTCACTCTGGCTCCTGGAGCTCTGGTCTGAAAGCTCTAAGAGCGCTGCTGAGAAAGGGTCTCTGCGTGCATCTTTGGCTCATGCTGGAGTCTGAGCACTACAGAATACAGTTGTATCAAAATATTAAATCAAGGCCCTAAATTAAGTGCAACTTAATTTCAAAGGATGTACGATAGGAAGTGTCCGAAATCTGGCCATGGGGTGGAAAGGGAAGAGATCAGTAATGATGCTAAGCACAGAGAAAGGAGGCACCAAAGTTCCAGGGACAAATAACGGAATCAGGCAGGAAGCTAAGCAGGGGAGGAAGGGGAAAGAGTGCTCACACCAGGTGCACCAAGTCCTGGAGCTCACAAGGGGAGACGGGAAAGGAGTGGAGGGGACTGTCCACAGAACCGCTGCTCTGAGGGAGGAAATGTGATCCCCAGCCACCGAGGGAATGGTTCCACTGAACTAAGGAAAAGTAAAGCCAATGAGAAAAACTCTGGATGCTAGGCTGGGCCTATGGTGGTGCACACCTGTGATCCCAGCACCGGAAGACTGAGGCAGGAGGATCACTGTGAGTTCAAGACCAGCCTGACAAATAAACTTAGGATGCGATGTAAGCTTACGAAGGTGTGCCATCAGTCACTGACAAACACAGCTAGGTAACTGGCTAAAACCACTGAGAACAGAGACATAGATTCCAGTTGCTATCTCTGAGGGTTAAGATAAACACAGCAGTTGAAGGATCAGCTATGACGCAAGAATGAAGAAGCTTGCACAAGCTGGGCTGGCGCCTGTCTCTAGAGGAACGGGATAAGAGAAGGGGCCTGGACCTTAGAAACGCTGACTAACAGAGCCGAGTCCCACAGGAGCATTAGCTGCCAGCGCAGTCCTGGCACTCAGCAAGGCCCTTCTGCGAGCTTGGGCACAGCAGAAACACTTAACCTTCACCTGACTAAGTTGGCTTAAGTAACTAAAGAAAACCACTCAAGCAACGCTGTCAAAACTCCCGGAGGTTAAGATGACATTTCGGGAGCCACGGTCCATAAAAGGAAACGTGTATACAGCCTGATTCTGTTATTTAGTGAGGCACGGAAGAGCTCATGGAGAAACACAAAGTGCTCAAGTAAAAGAAAATGTCTGCATTCCCACCAGTAACAGCGCACACCCCTTGTCTCACACCCTCTGCAGACAGCATTTGTTACTCCTGTTTAAGAAACAGCCATTCTGACCAGGGCGAGGGGCGCAGCTGAGGTGCACACTCCTGGCTGGCGGTGTCCAGCACCCTTTCACGGGGTTGACGGCCATCTGCACCTCTTGTGAGACGCGTCTCTTCAGCCACTGGACCGCTTGTGGGCTGGATTACTTGTTCTTTCGTTAGGAACTTGTTTGAGTTCTTTACATATTCTGGAGATGAATCTTCCATCAGATAAAGAGCTCGTGAAGATTTCTCCCATTCCGTAGGTTGTCTCTTTGTTGACTGCTTTGCTGACAGAATCCCATTTGTCAATTCCTAAGCTACTGAAGTCCTTTCAGGAAACTACTGCCTGTGTCTACATCTTGAAGTGTTTCCCTATGTTTTCCTCTAGTAGTTTCAAAGTTTTACGTCTTCTACTAAGGTCTTTGATCCATTTTGGGTTGATTTTTGTATAGGGCAAATAAGAGATGGGAGTCTAGCTTCAGTCTTCTACATACGTACAGATAACCAGCTTCCCCTGGATTATTTGTTGAATCACTAGGAAAAATAATATGGAAGCTCCTCACAAAAACAAAAATGAACTACCATATGGTCTAGCTGTACGATTCCTGGGTCTAGGGCCGGGGATTTAGCTCAGTGGGGCTGCCGCCTGCCTCACAAGCACAAGGTCCCGAGTTCAATCCCTGGTACAAAAAAAAATTCCTGGGTCTACACCCGAAGGAAATGAAGTCATCTAAAGAGATACCTGCACACCTGACTTTCACTATTCACAACAGCCAAGTTATGGGATCCGCTTAGTGGAATTTTACTCAGCCGCAAGAATGAGATCAAATTGTTTGCTGGAAATGGGGCTCATGTTAAGCACAAAAAAACCAGATATAGAAAGACAAGTAGTGTAAGTTTTCTCTCATATGTGGAAACGTTAACTACACACACACACACACACACACACACACACACACACACATATCTGAAAGTAGAAGCACGACTTATTAGGGGAGCGGCCAGGGAGGAGAGAGAAGGGAAGACCAGAGGAAGGGAAGGACAGTGGGGAGGGTGGGAAAGGTGAAATCACACTATACGCATGCACAGAAATGTCAGAGTGAAAGCCATACATTTGGAAAATTAATGATTTCATGTTTATAATTAAAACTTTTTTGGGGTGGGGGCGTTGAGAAAGGATCTCACTATGTAGTTGAGACTGACCTGGAACTCACTATGTAGCCCAGACTGGTCTCGAACTCACAGTGATCCTCCTGCCTCAGCCTCCCGAGTGCTGGGATTACAGGCGTGTGCCACCACACATGGCCAATTATAATTAAAACATTTAAAAGTCCATGTTAAACTTTTTTGTTTTTTTTTGAGACAAAGTCTTGCTATATATAGTTCAGGCTGGCCTCAAACTCTAGGTGACCCTCCTGCCTCAGCCTCCTGAGTGCTGGGATTACAGATGTGCACCACCACGTCCAGCCCCATGTTAAACATTTTTAAAAGATCATTTCTGGGCCAGGGATTTAGCTCCGTGGTGCTGCTATCTGCCTTGAAAGAGCAAGGACCCGAGTTTGATCCCTGGTACCAAAAAATTTTTAAAAATTTTAAATTTTAAAAGATCTATTATAATATATAAAATCTGAAAATGTTTATCTAGCAAGGTTATGAGTAAGTCAGGGAATGTGTAATTGATAATCTACACTCATTACAACAGCTTAAAGAGAAATATAATAAACCGGAAAATGTCTGTAATTTGCTAGGCTAATGTAACCCTCCTGTTATTATTATTAAGGGTAAAGGATCATAGCTTATAGGTTTCCATACCAAAGAATTTTATTTGCAAAACTGATTTTCTCTTGAGCCATTTTTATTCCAACTAATTAAAAATATCAACATGCTGAAGTGTTGTCTAGAAAACTGCTGTGGGTGGCATTAGCCCCATCTTGGTCCATATCACTGTTATTGTCTTTAAAGAATAAAACAGAAAATTACTAAAACTTGGTAAGTCAGTGAGACTGCAAATAAGACTGGAAAAAAGAAAAAGTTACAAATATAAAAAAAGGAGAGTGTTTACAATGAAAATATGTAACATTTTTGGGAACATTCAGTATGTAAGTAAAATTGTCAAAATAATTGAAACAAAGATACTAAATCATAATTACTGTAATCCTGTCTACCAAATCCATTCAACCACAGGATGGGATACATTTAACAAATTAGGAAACCAAATATAGTTCACTACAAGATGGCCAACTCAAATCTTGTTAGCATAGTAGTTGTTATTTAATTAAATGCAATCTGAACCAAAATCCCAATGGGGTTCCTCCTTAGAGTTTGACGATGTAATTCTAACATCTGCTGGAGTCTGTACAGAGAAATTTAGTAAATGTCTAACAGTCAGGAAGGCTCACACTACCATTCAATTAAATCTCAAACATTAAATGGTACAAAAATTGGTACAAAAGTACAATAAAGCAGAATAAAACCCCCTAAGTGGACTAAAGTACACATAAGGTAATGAGGGTATTTCAAATCATTGAGAAAACTGAAAATTTCTCAACAAATTTTGCTAGGATCATTTCATTGTAAAAAAATAAAATTGTGTGAGATTTTCCAAAGTCATACATCAAACAGATTTCAGGACCCCCCACCCAGGTACAGAGATTGATTCAGGGCCATCATGCTGGGCTGCATCTCAAGCCCTTTTTATTTTGAGACTGAGTCTCACTAAATCACTAAATTACCAAGGGCAGGGTTTGAACTTGTGATTCTCCTGCCTCAGCCTTCCGGAATCTGGGTTTACAGGTATATGCTGCCATTCCAGGCTGATTCCAGATACTGTATTTCTGAAATGCTCAGATACAACACGGATGATATTTATAGTCATAAAATATATTGATAACAAATAAAAGGTCCATTTCTAAGCTTAGTATTAAAACTTTATTAAAAGGTATTTTTAAAAAGCTGATAGATTTTACTACACAGTTTGAAATGTTTATGTTCTAAACATGCAAACAAGCCAGGTGTGGTGGCATACACCTGTAATCCCACCATTCAGAAGGCAGAGGCAAGAAGATCTCTGCAAGTTCAAGGCCAGCCTGGACTACATAGTGAAACTCTGTGTAAAATAAATAAAATGAAGCATGCAAACAAGATTAAAGGCTAAAAGAAACGAGAATGAGAAAAGAATGTGAATGAGAAAGAAAATGTCAAACATCCAATAGAAAACTGGACAAAAGATAAGTGGTAAAAAAAAAACATTAAAATAATGAACAAAAAGTGTGAGAAATGAAAATTAATCCAGGATTGGAGCTGAGGATGTTTCTCT